GCCGCCCAAGTGGAGAAGTGTCCGGCTAACATAACCCAGGATCTCAGCCAGATGAATGAAACTGTCTTCATCGCACTGTCGTTGCCTCCTTAATTACCCCTCCATTCTTTTCTCCGTCCCAGCAACTACGAACCGGCAGCATGGGATTCTGATCCGATGGCCGGATGCTGGCCCAGTGGAGCCAGCTAGCAACAGCTTGCCGCTAACTCGCCCCGACTCGCCGGCGACGCTCAACAAATACTTCCCCGGCCAATCCGCCACCCTCCCTCATTTGTTAATTAATTGTCAAGTGGCCGCCATGTGCAAGTGACTCTAGGTTTCCAGAGGCGGAGCTAGACTCAATCAAAGGAACTTCTAAGGAATGAGTACTGGCGCGTGTTCGGTTCTTTTACCGGGAACAGGACCCGAAGCACGCGGACCTCGTGAAACACTCTTACGCTTCTGCCTCTCGTCAGTTCGCTAACACCGCACTTTACAAACCGGTTTCCATTTCAACATAATTTTTAACAGAACAAAAATTCCAGTCCTTCTTTTATTGGTAATAGTACTTTGTCAAACGTCACAACACGCGCCTTCCCCCACCCCTTTCGATCCGCCTCTCACTTTATTTCCTCAGTCTATCTACTCTGATAATTAATGTTTATTGTCCCAAGAATCAGACTAGAGACAGGCCTAAAACCGGAAAAACTTTACGAATACTACAAAAGCTGTTCAACTAATCTTCTTTATTTCCTCAGTCTATCTACTCTGATAATTAATGTTTATTGTCCCAAGAATCAGACTAGAGACAGGCCTAAAACCGGAAAAACATTACGAATACTACAAAAGCTGTTCAACTAATCTTCTAAGCTATTACGTAAGATTTATACGGCGTATTGAAAGTCAACTGTTGCTAAAAACTTGTATATTATATCCTAAAAGAGGTTCTATATTCCATTCTAAAAACCTACATGTTTTGCCAACTAGTGGTTGATTAGATCTAATCTACCCTGAAATATATGCAGGAGCAAAAAGTTGACCCTTATTCTAACCCTAGTATTACCAATAGAATCCATGTAGATTTAAAACTTTTTTTTTGTCAGTTCCTTACAATGAGTGTTGTCACAAGTAAACACATAAAGTTACTCAATATGGCACGATATGGGAACCTTCGGTATATAAAAATAAGTTGAAGGTTAATGAAGAGTAAATATCAATATCATAAGATAAAATCTTCATCACTGAGACTATAAGGACCAATTAACTATCAAAGTTTATTCAGTAATAATGTAACATTATTAACTAGCAAAGACCTGCAAAACATTTGAGGTTAAATTAGTATCTTTATTGCAATATTACGTCTTTAAATACAGGATTTATATAATAATAGAAACGAATTCTAATCACAGACGCTGAAATCTACAAGTCCAATTGTCTTTGGCCTAACATTAGTTAAGCCTTTATTTAATACGGCCTATATTCGGTAAAGAGATAAATTAACATTGTAGCTTGTGTACGTATTTTGCTTTAGTTTAGTTAGGACTGAAAAATCTACAAGTCCACTTGTCTTAGGCCTAACATTAGTTAAGCCTTTATTTAATACGGCCTATATTCGATAAAGAGATAAATTAACAGTGTAACTTGTGAATGTTTTTTTGCTTTAGTTTGGTTAGGGCTAAACTTTATCGTACTTAATATTATCAATAAATAAACTTATAACGTTATTGTACAACATAACGTTAGGCCTTTTCTAAAAAAAAATTGATAAATGCGGGCGTATGTGCATTTAGATAGTAAGGTGCACGCGCATTTTTAGGACAGACGAAAACTGAGTATTATTATAACAGATTAAACATCCTGAAATGTCAACAACGTGAAAGCTGTAGTGGGAAACTAAATTTATTTCTTGATTGAGATTTTTTCTCCCCTAATTTGTTCTTTCATTGAATGGTGGCGCTTCACACAATCTCACCAATCAGTACGTGCACTAGTTCAAATGCAATAAGTATTGATCATAGTCTTCCAGTGATAAATTCTCCACTTCCGGTCTTCAATCTATTTCTCTCGATTCTCTGTTCGAGTCTCTCTCTCTTTCTCCGAACTTCTCGTCATTTTTTATGCATCTCTCAAGTTACGCGGGAATATGTTCAGAACATTCATAACAATATCAATTACGTAACTTGTAGAATACGAAAGGAAAGAAAATAATGTATTCTAAATTGTGCTACTTGTAGTAATAGTACTCATTTTTAAAATTTAAATTTCAAACACCATATATTGATTTTAAGATTTCTTTTAAATGGAAATTTCAAGATCTAAGAGAGCAACTAACCTTTTATCAGCATGTCTAAAAGTCTTTTAATTGAGAAGAGACTACACTGAAATATGTCAGTAGCTCCACCTGGCGGTCTTACTCCATATACCTAACTGTCCGACTCAAAAGGTATAGATAGAGATTATTCTGAAATATATCAGTAGCTCCACCTGGCGGTCTTACTCCATATACCTAACTGTCCGACTCAGAAGGTATAGATAAAGATTAGCTACTGATATATTTCAGAATAATCTCTATCTATACCTTCTGAGTCGGACAGGTAGGTATATGGTGTAATTCGCCAGGTAGATCTACTGACATATTTCAGAATAATCTCTATCTGTATCTTCTGAGTCGGACAGTTAGGTATATGGTGTAAAACCGCCAGGTGGAGCTACTGATATATTTCAGAATAATCTCTATCTATACCTTCTGAGTCGGACAGTTAGGTATATGGAGTAAGACCGCCAGGTGGAGCTACTGACATATTTCAGAATAATCTCTATCTATATCTTCTGAGTCGGACAGTTAGGTATATGGTGTAAAACCGCCAGGTGGAGCTACTGATATATTTCAGAAGGACAGTTAGGTATATGGTGTAATTCGCCAGGTGGAGACTCAGAAGATACAGATAGAGATTATTCTGAAATATGTCAGTAGATCCACCTGGCGAATTACACCATATACCTAACTGTCCGACTCAGAAGGTATAGATAGAGATTATTCTGAAATATGTCAGTAGATCTACCTGGCGGTTTTACACCATATACCTAACTGTCCGACTCGGAAGGTATAGATAGAGATTATTCTGAAATATGTCAGTAGATCCAGCTTACTTAATGTTCCAAAATGTCCCAGTAATAAGAAATAGAGCATTTACTCAAAGATGTCAGGAACTCTGGCTTACTTATTGTCCCTAAATGTCTCAGTAATAAGAAATAGAACATTTACATAAAGACGTGAAGAGCCCTAGCTGGAGCTTACTTAGTGTCCCCAAATGTCTCAGTAATAAGAAATAGAACATTTACATAAAGACGTGAAGAGCCCTAGCTGGAGCTTACTTAGTGTCCCCAAATGTCTCAGTAATAAGAAATAGAACATTTACATAAAGACGTGAAGAGCCCTAGCTGGAGCTTACTTAGTGTCCCCAAATGTCTCAGTAATAAGAAATAGAACATTTACATAAAGACGTGAAGAGCCCTAGCTGGAGCTTACTTAGTGTCCCCAAATGTCTCAGTAATAAGAAATAGAACATTTACATAAAGACGTGAGGAGCCATAGCTGGATCGTACTTAATATCTCCAAATTTCTCAGTAATAAGAAATATAATATTTAATGAAAAATATCAGGAGCTCTGGATTACTCAATGTCCCAGTACTAAGAAATAGAGCTTATATTGAAAAACGTGAGGACCTTACTGTATGTTTCTACGTGGTCCTCACGGAGGAGATACAATATAACGCTACGAGTGTTGGTGAAAATGATGTTCTAAACTTCCAGTTGAAAAATATTGTGGCCCCTAGACAAATCTAACTTCCAGTTGAAAGATATTGTGGCCCCCTAGACGAATCTAACTTCCAGTTGAAAGATATTATGGCCCTCTAGATGAATCTAACTTCCAGATGAAAGATATTGTGTCCCCTAAACAAATCTAACTTCCAGTTAAATTACTGTTTACATTGAGTTTCATTCTGTTACACGAAACTTTCTCGATCGTCAAATTTCATAAGAATTCTATGAGCAATAAAGATGGTTTATGACAGTGTTTGGTTTAGAAAACGAAACAAAAAAACTCATTCTTCATACGTGTGTGTGTGGCTATTGTCCTCAAATAAAAAAAAAGACACATTTAAAGATTTCACGTAAAAAAAAACACTAAACGTAAACAGCGACACAACTATTTACAAAAGCTTTTCGTGATCCTCCAAGAGAAACTATGAGTAACAGAGATTCGAATTTGAGCTCTGGTAGTAAGCCTAACGTCAGATATCCGGTTACCTATCACTGCAGTCTCAGACGGCTCCAGCGGTAAAAAAAATAAAATAAAATAATAATAATAATAATAAAAATAAAACCTTATCATTCAGGACCACGTTTTAAGTTTTGACAGAACTTTTCAAGTCTGTTAGGCTCTGACGGGAGTGGTTGTCGGTCCATAAGGTATGAGATTTTCCAAGAACCGCCTTCCCAGGTTTATGATGTTCATTGGCGTTCTGTGATGACGCCAACAAGGGCGGGAGATAGGGAGGCCGAGTTATTTTCAAGCCTGACAGCCCTCACTTTTAGGATCTGAGCATGTTAGCTCGCTTTTGGATAGAAAGTGCCGCCCGCCGATATAGTTGCACGCTATTTTGTCGAGGCGTACTCCATACTCGTCGTTCTGTGAGTACCAACGAAGACTGTACAGTCACGGTTCTTCGCTGGTCGAAAAAAAAAAAACAGTACGAAATCAAGCAGTGTATAAGACGAGTTCAGGTGTGTGTTATTCTCCCAATTAATTTTACCTTGTTTCAAATAAATTTTTAAACAAGAGCAGAATTGTAAGACGGTAAGCTTCAGTGACTCTTATGAAACCCTTCTGATTACCGCTAATTACAATTTCCCAAATTTTAATGGAGTATACGCTAAACGTCCCTGGAAGCCCGCATCTCGGCATTACTCCTAGTGAAACGGGTGTCTTGCCCCTGCTGACCTATGATGACAAGCTTGGGCCATCCAGTTTTGCAGGCGTGGGGGAGAACACTAAACGGTTTACCGTCAGTCACCTGCTGGACCTGGAGGACACTTACCCGGGGATAGAAAAAAGCCGTGGGAAACGAATGCAGGTGGACCCAGAAGATATTCCGCAGGGCTGTGGTAAGTACGATATCAGAATAACATTGTCCTTGATCCAGGGCAGGTGCTAGGGAGGTATGGGGGACAAGCCCCCTGAATTTTTTTGTCGGTACCCCCAACCTAATATCGTCTATTAATTTTAGACTTATATTAAATTTGACCCCCTTTACGTCTCATTTGCTACTTAGTTAAAAAAAAGCTCGAATCGAAACCGTCTTAGTCAAGTTTGACTTATGCTAAAGTTGATGACAGACAAAATGCTTACAAGATCCTATTGTTTTTAGTGCATAAAATCATTGTCTGCTATGATATTTGACATGAGGGATCGCAGCTTGTGTTGAGTGTGGTCTCTGATTTATCATTAACACTCTTGTAACCGGTTAGTTATTTATTAGTCACGAAACATTTTTTTTATCAGAGACCGGTCAGTGAAGACACGAGTTTGGTAACTAGGATAAAAACCTACATCTATGGATAGATTATTTTCGTATTAACACTTAAATAGTTTTAAAAAAAATTATGTAATTTACAATATAATATATTTTAGTTC